AAGTTATTGTAATTGTTATTGTACTTGTCTGTTGGAAGTGAGTATATTCTGGCAAACTCACTCACAAGTGTTGGCGTACATGTTTCATTACTTCCAACTGATATCAACGTTATTGTCTCACTATCATTCAACTGCTTGCGAGTAGCATAATAAATATTGTCAATTTGAGTTGGCCTTATATCATTGATTACAGAAGCTATCCATTCAAGTCCATAACTTGTTAAGGAGGTTGGAATCCAGTTGATCTCTGCAACTAACGACATGGTTTGAATAAGAAAGAGGAAAGAACCACTTCATTGTGTTACATCGCAGTGACATTATTTATTCCATACAATTCGCTTTCTCGACAAACTGCAGTTTATTCGCTGCGTATCGCGTTTTGGCTTCATGCGGGCGTCATCCTCAACTAGATAGACCAAAATCCCAAGCGATATTCACCGTTGAAAAATTAACGCTGCGGTAATAGTTCCTGGGAATCATCCCATGTATTAGTATTATACTGTTTAGATTATGAATGTGCTATCATATTTTATTTATCAATGACAAAAAATTCGATCTTTTAAATATACACCAATAAAGCGAAACATTATGTGAAATAAAATGTGCTTATTCGAATTGAGTCAGTGTCTATTCCGTGATAGTATAAGCGAAGAAAAGAATACACTTAGTTAATTAACGGCTTCAAATTTCTTTAAAAGATATTGACAGCTATCCAGTCAACTGCATTTACAATTTTTTCAGGAAAGTGAGAAAAGTTATGTGTTCAAAATAAGCTGCTCTTTTTATTACCACGATAATAGATAATGTGATGTGAAGGTTAAATGAATTTCAACTACTTGTTCTAAATTAACGATTCTTAATTAATTGCTTAAACGACTGTTTAGATACGATGTCACTTGTAAATTGCCTTTTTGCGAGTGCGCGCGGATTGTTGTTATCATCAGAGAGCAATAAATCTAGAGTTCCAGTTACTCGCGCGTTTTTTATGCATCACTGGTCGTATTTCTTTCCCAATATGCGGAATGACCTAACGACAGTGGAGCATCCCAGAAGACAGTATGCCTAGACAAGACCCTAACTAAACACGTTGAGACTGTGTCCAAACATCTGAACTTGCGACAATACGGCGAAAACTTTACCGGGAAGAGAATGCACGAAAAATGCCCCAGCATTGTATTTGTCGTTGAGAAAACCAGCGGTAATATATACAGTCGAGGATGTGAACACACAGATAAGACTTATATTAAAAAAGGAAACCGACAGGCAAAGCTAATCCGCTGACCGTTCTCTTCAAACAAACTATGATTTATTGAAATCCAATTTTTACCGAATGAGTATAAAGGAGAGCGGTAGCTGCTGACTGCCGAGCCCTTTGCAAGTATATCATAACTTTGTCCAAAGCCAAGCATCCATACACAAGTTCACGAAGGTAGAAAACCTTGGCAGCTTCTTCTTTCCCAATCCTTCATGCGCGATAAACCTGGCAGCATGGACACGTCATAATTTCAAGCAATAAGACGAGCAGGACGAATACGCGCCCGCCTTTGAGACTTGTCCAAAACCGACGCTTTGCTTCGTATCCTTGCAAGCAAATCACTTTGCTCAAACAACAGGTTTTCTAATCTTTGCCACAAAGAAACCCGATGTATTCGAACAGATTGGATCCAATCGAACTGTCATGGATAAATCAATGTCATACTGGCTTCTTCTTATTTTTGCCGTCCTTAATTGAGGAGTAAGTGGGACCTCTTCCAGTCGCGCATCACTGTATTTGCTAAGAAACCAGCCGATAACGTCTTCGTTCTGTTGACGAGAGAGGCTGCAAGTGCTGTATACAAGAATACCACCGGGTTTAAGAAGTGACCATCCGTTGACGATGAGCTGACGCTAATAATAATATACGGAATAAATCCGAGTCGATAAACTCTTGCTTCCTAACTCGTCTAGCTTTCATAGCTTACTTGTAAATCCCGTAAACTCTCAGTACGATCTGGATTCATAAAATTCTTCTCAAACACATCCCATCCCCATTTCTCGTACTATAAATATTACAAACTTTATCATTATGACGGCTTGAGACAATAATACAACGTCTATATATATATATTGCGCTCAGATACCTTAAGAATATGCGTAACGGACCCGTCATGAGTACATTCAGCATCTACAAGCACCTGAAATCGTTAACAGTGTATGTCAAGGTGAATTCATTGGCTACCATTGTACATATAGAGTATACGTTAAACATGTCCTAAGCCCAATGATATTTACCTTATCATAAAGATACTTGTCATCCGCCTTCTGTGGGTCAGTGCGAAGAGTCTTTGGCGCCCAAAATGGCTTAATTATGCTCGTACCACTACCGTTATCGACTGCCAATATCGTTAAATCCTCAGACAATTCTTCACCAAACCAATTTCGACTACTAGATCGCATTGTTTCCTGTCGCAACGGATCGAGAAACGAGGGCGCGCGTACACCAAACGTCGTTCCATCAGCAACGAAAAGTCGCGCTCGTCCAATTCGATACTTTTTTAATAAACTCCGACATGTGGCAGCTCTATGTTTTGATATCGACGCCAGTGACTGTGCCAGTTCCGTCAGTACCCAAGAGATCAGATATCATACACAGCTTTGCGCCTGAGTCATAATTTGAGGAATCGTTATCCTTGACCATGATGTGAAAGAAAAATTCATAACGCAAGAAGCAATTTTATTGGTTCAGGTTTACCCACCAGGCGCACAGCACAAGTCTAGGACATGGTCGCCTTTTTCCAAGTCAAGAGCATAGACAGCTATGGCTGAACTCAGATCGATCCCATAAATCTAGTAGCAAGTTTTATTGTAATACAGTCTTTTGCTTGACATAGCTCAACGATAGAGACCTGGTTTACCTTTCCGTCTTTATATCTATTAATATAGTAGCTTTTCTTTTTAGAAATCCTTTTGGTATTTAGAATAACATAAACCATCGAGCGTCTTACGCTTGACATCCAACAATCTTTGCATTCCCATCCAACCGGAAAAATCCATCAAGTCCCGAAACAGAGTACAACGTTGTTCCCAATTGAAACTCCAACTCGTTTCGATCAATCGGGTTTTGATCTCTCGGATTTATTCGTATATATCGGGGGAGATCTTTGATCTCATAGACGGCGGGATCAATCTCATTCTCCTTGAGGAACTTTTGAAACGAAGCAGGAAAGACTGGCATCTCGAACCAAGAATGTTTTCGGTGCAACGCGAGTCATAAATTTTTACATATTGTCACGTGATTCGATAAACTTAAAATGAATAATTAGCACAATTAGAGAGGGAGAAATCTAGTGTTTGCATACACATGTTTCATTGGAGAGGGTTGGCTGTACCTCTAATATTGGCACATCTTTAATCAATTATTATGTCTATACAAAAATTGTGGATATTTATAAAATAAATAAGCTATCTAATATTGATCATTACGATATAACTCTTACGAATGCACACCAAAGCAATATACAAATGCTAATTCTGTAAATGAGATGAAAGTTTGATATGTGCCTTGTAAACACACTTTTTTGTAAAAATCGTTATGTACCGAAACATCTTAAAGAGTTAGCCATTTTCTCATTTTCGTTCACACGGCTTCTTCAGAATCTTTTCTGCAACTCCACAAGTGCAAAAGTTCACCACTAGTTCTTTAATTTCTTCACCCATACGCTCAACCTCTTTCCTCAACACGGGCGACATTTGCGTACGATCACGATATGCGTCAAATTTAGCCAAAAGTTCCGGCTGAAGGTTCTCGTATAATGATGACGGTATAGCAAGTAGAAATAGCGTTGCAAAAGCTACTTCATAGTCGGAAAATTTTCTGTGTTGTTCCTGAGGTACCTCCTGCAATGCCTTCCGGATGGCCGGGTAGATCGGTGATAACGTCGTTTCTTTTATTATCGCACTAATGTATTGTTCTCTGCTAACTCTTTCCGTTTCACCGATCCCGTTTCCACAATCTATGTCTATAGCATGTTGCAATGATGTTATGAACGGACTGTTCATCACAACAGTAGCCAATTCTTCCATAGATTGTGGCTTTTCATTCAAAATTCTTTTGGGTATGTCTTCACACAAGGCCTTTTCTAATGCGCTCCAGCTAGTTTGTAAAGCTGACGCGTCGCAGTCCATGTTGCACATAAAATCTTTACGACTGTCGGATGGCTGGGAGAGAAGAAAGTATCCGCGCGGTTGTTGGGTGACTTTGTCAACTGGGAACATTGACTCGTATAAAAGGTCAACTGATGCAAAATAAGATGGATATTTAAATCTATGCGGTAAAAAAAAAGCAACAAATTGTTTAGAGAAAAGTTGTAAGGGAGTATTTTTCAAAGCGTCCTTGTGAATAATATTTACCGAGCTGTATCCAACACTAGTGCCATATTCTTTTCTGGAAGATATGCACCGATTGGTGAGAAATGCTAAATAAATCAAGAGATTCGTAAGCATATACATACAATAGTTACGTTACTAATACACACACCATATCATTTTGTGCCGTAAACAATTATGTACTCACTCCGTCTCCAGTCTGACTAAGTGCCGCCCTCGAAAAAGAAATAACCATGTACACTCCTGGCGTCGAATTGACATATTTCAAATCGTTCAAAAATTCTTCTTTTGTTACTTGATCTGCGCGTTTAGCGTGTACTTCACAATGACATTTAGCCAAACATGCAAACTGAGAAAATGTTATTCCTGTTTGTTTGACCTTTTCGATATCCTGCAATTGAATTCGACAAAAACAATTTAGTGATATTGTAAGAGCAAAAAATGTCGAGCAAAAAATGTCGACACGAAATTCGGCATACAAACCTGGCAACAATTCAACAATTCATCATACCACCATCGCCTACAGTTAAAAAAAAAAGAGCTTATTAATACAAAAATACATAGATTACGTATCTGGAAAACAATGTTTGATACAATCTTCTGATTCATACATACCAGGGACCTTTCCATACGGGGGCTCCTTGTACTTGTAAAGCATTAAGTACTATTGCCAATGAACTCAATGCACAGTAAGCCGGTTCCATTTGATGAGAAAAACATGAAGAAAGGTCAAAGAACCCTTCAGCATATCCTTGGTTTAATGATTCTTTTATAAGTTCTTTCCCTTCTTTGGAGGTTAGAGAAATCAAAAAGGAGGGCAATTCCCTCCCTTGGAAATATTGTTTTGGTTTTACGACGCTGGCATCAGTGGAATCGGTAGTCGAGGAGGAAGGGTTGGGTTTTATTTTTAAATAGCTCAGAGGTGGAGGAGATTCTATGACACCTCTTTCTGTTGTAACCGCGGTGTATGATTCGTTCATAATGTTCTTTTCAAATAAAGTCTGTTTTCCGAGGGTGTTTCTGTCTAGGGATGTTTTCCGTTGTCTAGAATCGAAAAAATGCCGAGAACCCAAAGTCGAGTAATTCCTGTTGAATCTACCTATACGTGTCTTATTTATAACAGACCGTAGTCGATAGAGCATGGCGAAATATCAATCATGATATCGATATGCTGATCGTCTGATCGTCGTTGAAAGACTTGGAAGTGTACAGAATACTCTAGACGATATATATTAGTCATGCAATCCTCCAAAAATAAGAGATCATCATGATATAAACTTCCTAATTGGGATTGTAAGAATTACAGAGAATTCCTACTTTTTGTTGATTTTTGGCAATTACGCAAAACCTTTTAACAAACGCCTGCGTGGATTAAGATTAAGATAGAGCAAAGTGTCATTCTTAGCCTACAATTATAATGGTTCCGTAATTACTACAGATTAGAAGTGCAATTAACATACAGTACGCGTACATTAACTACCGCCCGTTGAAATCCGATTAGAAAACTGTATCGAATGCCAATCTTATAAGAAACCCGGTTAAACTTTAGTAGATTATGTTTGTAGTACAATATAGACCCTTTAGGTTCTTTTATAATTTAAAAGGTTTAAAATGTTTAACGGAATTGGCTGTAAGTTTAATGTTTAACATTGGATTGTAAAATTTTAAATTGGGGTCCGAGAGATAGGAAAAGAATTCGAAAAATGGTCTGGGTTAATAAAGACGAATGAATTAGATCTCAATCTGTGAAAATCATACCCTGGCGGGAACAGAATGCCGCACCTTTATCTTTTCTATCGTCACCGACACGCCCAACATTTTAACTTTCTCGAGGTAGTACTGTAATAAATATGTAATCCAAAAGCAAGACATGTTGATAAATAAAGAATCCTCTATTCTATTGATATGGCAAGAGCAAACAAATCTACAGGTGAGATAACCTGTTTGAACCGGCGGATCAGTTTTGCTTTTTGGCCGTTTAGCCAAAGACCGGTTCAGAAAATTGTTTAGCCAGAAAAGGTTTCTAATTAATGGAAATTTGGTGTAGTTGTGAGGCGGCTGGTTAAACTCGAGACTGGTTTAAGCAGTGCAGTGCCGGTTTAGACAGGTTTTACCGGTACGACTTTTTTTTTATTGGTTCACAGGTTACGCGAATTGTCGAAATTTGATTGTCCATGTCATTATCACGGACAAGTTTTGCAGAATACTTCTGGAATAACTGGTATTTGCACTATAAGCTGCTTGTAAGCAAGTAAATTAAATGCATACACTTGGAATATACGACAATTATACACACGCTAATGTATAGACGCACTATACGTAAAAAGGCAACTATGGGAAAATTAAAACGCTAGTAGATTTAGTAATTGGCTAAAATACTCTGGATTTATCGTTCGAAAGGCGCATGATGTGACGTTGAGCTAGCTTGGCATGATATCATGTGAATTGCACATGTATTATTAGCGATATCAATATCAATACATTCACTGGTTTTTTACAAAATCCCACTTTCGAGTAAAAATCAAAAGTCGACGCGACGAAATGAGCGACTCTCAAATCTTTTGCATATTGAAAGTGTAATCTCAACCTTTATTTTACAAAAAGATTAATTTACGAAAAATAATGGTGGTTGGTAAACGTGCATATAATCGGGCACAAGTAGGTTACACAAACAATCACGTGCAATCGGACAACATATTTTGCTACGCCAACTCACCGTAAGGGTTCAGGAAACGAATAACACTTTAATATTATATGCTGCCATACGATACAAAAGCTCATTGCCTTCTTTGTACTCCAATTATCATGTTGAAATGCGTAAAGACGGCATATTTAATATTGACGGAAAACCGAACAATATAATAAGGGGAGTACGTGGCACAAATAAGGTTATAAGCCTCATTCGACACGATTGTCTAATTTACGGCAAAGAAAGGAAAAACGCCTTCTTCTGCTTTACCAAAGTCATTTTACGTACTATCCTCGCGTGTTGCCAGGGACTTTTCTTGCTGAAAGTAGAAATAATGTAATCGGTTGGCCATCTAACAGCCCTCCAATCGAAAACATGTGGCAATTATTAAGAAAAAAACGAACATGTAAATGAGTTAAATGAGACAGAATGTGATCAAGCTCCTGTGAAAACCAGATGCGAGTAAGTTTAAAGATAAGAATTCCGTATTAAAAGTATTTAATGTCCTCCAATATACGTTCAAGCCACTCGATTGTTCTATTAAGAAAATTCAATTATTTTCGCATACACAGTAGTTTTCAAAATGGTTAGACGATAGTGGTATTAGCGGTAGATAATGATCGATAATCGATGGATTAATAAACTTGTCCCGAGATGGGCGAGATCTACAATAAGATTTGCATGCCAATTCCGGGTACTTTCTGTTCATAGTAAATGCACATTAGCCTCAATACTATGATTTGTTTCACAAAGCATTATCCATACGTCATTTCTCGCCTTTACATTTACATAACAGTAATAGTGAGTTCAATATATCATCTAACTAATAATTTTATCATGCATAGGGCTCAAGTATTAAAAGACTCCTTGCACGGCTCTCTGGTCGTCGTGAGTTTTATTCCCTGCCCTGTCGAGTAGAGAGGCATTAACGTTCGTTACATAACACAAAGAATTACGCGTACAAAGTAGCCCAATAGTAAGTACATGTCTTGTCATCATTTTAATATAAATCGCTTTAAACTTTGTAGTAGAAATTGAACAGCCCACCCCCCCATGTTTTGTACCGATGCTCTCTCACATATCATTTTTATGGCATAATTTCCTATCAGGATGAGCGAAACTCGAATAACGACAACAAATCAAGCCCGCAAACCACATCACGTCCATGCCGTCTCTGAACTTCCTAAATCCTTGCTAGTTCGTCCTCCTTTTACCTCTTCATCGAGATCCAACACAAACCGGCAGCTAGCCTATGGCTTCTGTCCTGAATGTAATGACCTGAATACCTATTACGACTGGTGCTCATCTTGTATCTATTACAACTATATCTCTTCCAATGCCGTCTGGACTAGTGGCGACCGACTTTTAGATAAATTCATCCGCGAAGCACAACGGCAGGCTGTCAGTAGACACAATTTTATCGAATGGATTCCATTTTTGAGATTCGAGAATGTTACCTACTTGCACGGAGGTGCCTTGGGTGATGTCTATGAAGCCGTGTGGAGTGATGGATATCCACAGGCCTGGGATTACGATAACCAAAAGTTTATGAGATATAATAATACCAAAGTCGTGTTGAAGTTTATAGAGACCCCGTCAAATGGAGTTAGCGAATGGTTTTTGAATAAGGTATGTTTGTCAATTAATTGTTGGGGAATGATTTAGTGTATGAGATGAGGCGTATGTTTCGCATGGCGAATATCCATGGACAAGGCGCATGTATTCATATCTTTATAATGCATTGTATTTGCAATATTATTATCGTTTGGATACTATGTGTGCCACCAATGTCTCGCCCTTTATTTTTAAACTAACCCTTTGTTCTACTCTTACTTTTTTTCGCAGATAAGAGGCTACATCGAATGGCACCAAAACAGCGGGGATCGCTACATCATTCATTGTTACGGCGTAACCCAAGACCCTGATACCCAAAATTACGCTCTTGTCCTTGAACATGCAGCGGACGGATCGTTGCGTCAATACTACACTAACAATCGATCGGAACTAAACTGGGAGGACAAGTTAAACATTCTCCATATGATAATTAACGGGCTACGGACCTTACACAGCGCGGGTATATTGCATGGCAATTTACACACAGCGAATATACTTCAAATAGGAAACATTCCGCACATCAGCGACATTGGTTTATGCAACACGGCCGATTCTACATGCACAAACCGGCTATTTGGCGTGCTTCCATTCATAGCTCCAGAAGTCATGCTTACCAAATCCTATACTCGAGCGGCGGATGTATACAGCTTTGGCATGGTACTTTGGGAACTCTCTACTGGAGCAATACCTCATGCCGATTGCCCTCACGACGAACAACTAGCCATAGCCATTTGTCGTGGACTCCGCCCTCCTATTACCGATACCATCCCATCGTGCGTGGCCACGATAATTCGCAGATGTTGGGACGGAAACCCGAGTAATCGACCGAGCGTTGAAGAATTAGAGAATATCATCTGGGCTTGGTATGAAGATGTCTCGGAGGAGAGTGGTACGAAAATCGCCATGGAATTTAAAAAGAGCGACGCGCTCAGAGAACGGATGCTGAGAGCTCTGCGTGGGAAAGGTGAGGGTAGGGAGAGCAGAAGCTGGAGTCGATGGAGAAATAAAAGAGGGAAAACCGTGGAAGGCAAACTCCATTGTCATCCTCTGGCGGTATACAAGAGTAGGGTTATGGTGTTTCCTGGGTTGGAAGAATGGATAAACGGGAAAGAAAATGAGGAAGCAAAGAACATTGGTGGTAAGGAAGACGGCAACGTAAAAGTGAAAACGAATGAGCGTGGAGAAAACGACAAGAAGATGAAAGCGATCGATGGCGGGAAAAATAATAAGATCGATAGCGGGGAAACCAACAAGAATTCGGATGGCCTTGATAATGGGAAAGGCATGAAAGAATTGAGTGTGAAAGGACCGCAGAATACAGATGGTGTGGTTGATAGTGGAACACGGAAGAAGACGAATAATTTAACGCGTGATAAGGAAACTCCGCATAAAACGGAATTCTCTCTCTCATTCGGTGATATAGCCAGCAGTGTGTTGTTCAAGCATCGTCATCATTAGAATAATTGTAAATGTATATTCAGCTATAGACGAATTTATGCATATCAGTTATGTCGATTGTTTTATGTCATTTAATTAGTTCCAATATATTCTTACGAGTGTTATATAATATAACGGTATACGTAGGTAGGAACATAACAGTGAATCTATTGGTCGTACTTGACTTTGGTCTATTTGTTTTGACCGTGTCGTATTTGCCACTCTATGTTGTAAGGGTTTACGTTAATATATGATGTTTTACAAATTAATATTAAATAATATCTATTAATAAAACGAATTTTATCCGAATCAAGTGAAAAACATGCACATTTTCAAGGATTAGTTTAATCCCATTTGTACTAAACACGGATAAGTATTAATCCGTGAAGAGTTGTTTATAATCTGCTGTCTCGCAGGCCAAAGTGTTTTTACGAAAAGAATTATAACACGAGATTAAAAAAATTTAACTATGGGTTAAAAATAATCTGGCCATCAAGGCTATAAAAAAAGATTGCTTATACAGTTTGCGGTGAGGAAGGGTTGGAATAGAACATTTCAAGAGTTACAATATTTGCTCTATACCTGTATACATTAAATAAATATCATCAAAGATTTCGTATTGTAGAACGGTGCTTAACACAATATTATGCAAAGACGCTTAATAGTGTTTATAATTCAGAATTCATCATTTTTATTTGCAAGATTCGCGTCAGCATTTAACGATTGTGAACGTGAACGCGCATCACTTTGACATGTTAATACGGGTGATTTCTCGGAAATTTAGAGCTTGTGTCTGGTGTCGTGACGTGCAAATCATGGGCACGTGCGCACATGACACCTAGTCAGTTTCCGCAAAAGCAATCGGAATGATAATTTGGGAATTCTAGCTGATATCCCGCGTCTAAGTACAATAGTAGCAATTGGAAAGTTTCATTAATATTGAAAAAGACATGTTTTATCATTATAAAGTTGCTAATACTTATAACGATGTATAAAATGCCCACAGAAGATGAGAAATCCGGAAAGACAATGACGGAAAAAAGGATGGAAATAATAAGGTTAGTGTAACATTGGCAAGGGGGTAAATAAGAACAATTTACTTGCAATCCTTGATTCTCCCTCATTAACCATACCTGATAAAGCAGTAGAATGCAAGTAGCTTCACATATATTTGAAACAAATAATTATGTCACTGTTGCAGGTTTTTTCTTGGAAATGATCTTTGTTATAACGTCTTTGTTCTGTGCTACACACACCCTGCATTCTAAATCTTGGGCGTTATTGTGCATGATGATCAAAAATATCGACACATAAAACTACGGAGCAAAGAAAAATTCACGTTTCACCAATCCTATTGTTTATGAAATGCAGAGAGCACTGTCATCATCTTTCACAGAAAAATTTACTAACGACATCATTGAATGCGAATTGAGATCTCGTGAATTGGTCAATATAAAAGTACCGGCCATCAATGCATTTAAAGCTATCCGTCAAAGTATCGAGTAATGTTGCCAAGTATAAGCTGTTACGTAAACAATAATATAAAATGCCCCACCATATGTAGGCCATAAACTTAATATTTACGATGCATTTGTTGGCAACACCAACATAATAACAAAACATCAATCATTACTTTATCCAATAGCATTACTTACAAGGCGGGGGTAGAGAAATTATCATGCGCTTATTATTATAATTCGAGATTATTCATCTTTAGAAAGCTCGGAAGAATTAATCTAGAATTAGAATATGTAACCGATGTAATCGTAAACATAAACATGAATTAAATAGCATAACGCATAACGCATAAAGCATAAAGCATAACGCATAACGCATAACGCATAAAGCAGAATACTTGTAATAGAAACTCGACTATGGAGAATATGTTAGGTAAACCAATTCGCAAGGTTTAATTGAACGCCTGTTACAATTGCTTTTTCAACAAGTTTTCCCTTTATATTATATTTAATCTCCCCTGGCTGGCATATGAAATTTCCACGTGGACCATATTTAGTGTAATGTAATCAACAACATTTGCCTGAAACCATTCCCCAAACTGCCACGGGTCCAAGTTGTAAGAGCCAGAATTAGCAGACTTTCTTGTTTTCATATTCTTAATGTGAATACAATGCAACCTCAGTTTTATAGTAATATATATCTGATTAGGTCTGTCATCATTAATTATAATTACTACGACGCTAAGATGATCAATGTCGTACAGAATAAAATCAATATATGCTTCTCTACTACTAAACTTCTTACCGAGTATCGGATATTAATCGTTTTGACGTACAAAACCAGTAAAACACCTTTTCTTAGCATGATTCGCATACGAAGAAACCAATGGTAGTATCACATCATGTTGCTGCACGACCCTTCACGCCTATGAGCAACATTATCTTAATAACACGTTTGTAAGACTAATAAACTTCTAGCTATCCTAATATAGCAAGGCACCAATCGTCATAAAGTTTACGTCTATAATTTTTACTATTCTACAGTCATAAAGTGTCACAAACCATTGAGAAAGTGTCCGTATAACTACAGATTGAGACGACGATCATATTCTTTTTATGAGTTGGAATACAATGCCTATATGATAAAGTCTTTCTTATCTGATACCCGCGTCTCCCAAACTTGAAACTCTCTTTTTTTTTTTCCAATTTTTTTAACCCCCCTTTTAATAATATAACCTTTTGCTGAGAAATGGGTGCAAAGGCTAGCAAAAATACTCGAAGTGTTAAAGCAACCCCTAAACCACTCGACCCTGCTGCATGCAAAGATTGCAAAACGCCGTACCCAACTGCAGAGCATTGGTGCAAAGTATGCAATGGAAGACGCTTTGCTACGCAGTTTAAGGAATGGACAAGTGGAAACGAAGACATTGATACTTTCATTCAGGAAACGCAGAATTCCGCTACTGAACCGGGGAGGATCTTGGAATGGATAGCATACGAAAAGTTCGAAGACGTTGAGAAGATTGGAAGGGGTGGGTTTGGTACCGTATATCGGGCTAAATGGAAGGACGGTTATATAAGCGATTGGGATCCTGTTCGGAAACAATGGGATAGGGCCGGAGCGACAACTGTCGTGCTCAAATCCTTGGACAATTCCGAAGATATTTCATCGGGCTTTCTTAAAGAGGTAAACTGACACCCCCAGAATGTTAACTTAATATCTGTGTGAACCAGTCATTTTTAAATACACTCTTCACTACCAACTCGTCTGACACCCTCGTCCCTTCTTCACCTTGTGTCCGAACGTTTTAGCTCAGAGCATATGTATCTCTGGAAAAACACAGAACATCTAAATCGAAAAGTTCGACAGAGATTAGCGAGGATGCAGAAAGGCATATTCTCCCTTGTTACGGATTTACAAAACATCCAACTTCTCGTAACTTTATGTTGGTCGTCGAATATGCTACCGATGGCAATCTACGAGATTACCTACATGTGAACTACGATAGCACGCCCTGGAGATATCGTCTATCGATACTCTGGACGCTGGCCGAGGGTTTGAGAATAATTCATAACAACAACTTGGTACATAGAGATTTTCATTCGGGAAATGTGTTACAGCAAGGATTGTATTCCAGAATCGCTGATGTGGGTTTGGCTCGATTACCGAATGGTGCGTCATTACCGTCTAACGCAGGTCCGCTCGGTGTTATGCCTTATCTGGCACCGGAAATACTTCGTCACGGATCATATTCCAAAGCAGGAGATATATTCGCTTACGGAATCATAATGTGGGAGATATCATCGGGACAACAACCACACAGCGACGTTGCTCATGATCGCGAATTGGCTCTTCAGATCTGTGCTGGATCACGACCGCCCATAATTCCTGGTACACCCGAATGCTATGTAGAGCTAATGGAAAAGTGTTGGGATGTTGATCCTGCAAAGAGACCTACTGCAGAGCAATTGTTGTTGATAATGGGACAATGGGATATTAATGTGATTAGAGCTGCTGAGGAATTTAGACGGAAGACGTTATTGTTTCAGAAGGAGCCTGCTCATCTGTCGATGAATATTCATCCAGATGCTGTATATGTCAGTAGATTATTGCCTAATATCAGCAGTTATACTGACAAAGATATTGCAGTGAAAAAGCAGAGGTCAAAATGAAAAGTTAATGGTAGGAATGTTTATAGTCGAACATGTGTGTGTTGGATGTTATGTGTATACTAAAGACATTTCCAGTTGTTAGTGAATCTTTTTTTTTCTAATCGATTCGTAAGTTTTTGTCGTTGTTCTGTGGAAAGGTAATTATGTGTGTGCTACGTCTAGTGCTCAACTCACGAGGCCTGTGCTGTATAATTACTCAATTGTCGCCATCCTGCCATATTTTGTTTTCCACCATGTAGAGAACAACGCAAAGTATCAAACAACAACAAATTATATAACAGCGTACATTCTTTTAATCAATTTATTTTACCCCTTTATTTTTCGTGTTAGAATATTAAATCATGTCTGGAACATTCATTAGATTCATCTATTGCATAAAGTCTATTTGGGTTAATCATTATTTATTGTTATTTATATGAATACAAATGTACCGAACAACTCGGAAGGATTTTCCAACTTCTGGTTGCAAATTCGTAAGTGACAGCAATGAGACGGGGAAACCGATAGATTATATCCTAAAGACACAATTAATAAACCGTACTACTGCTACTTACTACTGCCGTCTTCGCTAGTCGGAGATCAAGACTGAGTTTCATTGTGACATGCCTACAACAAAGTAAAGGGTCCTCAGATTGTGATATAACTGGAGATTTGAACTGTTGCTTAGAGCAGAAGATCATATGACTGAGATGACTCGATGCATGATACGTATACCGTTGAGACAAAAAAGATGACTTGACGAGGATGTTATATGTCTTATCCTATTGATTCTTGTGGCCCAAGAAGGCAGTTGCCATATCAACTTACGAATGAACAACATCCAAGACGTCGATGAAAGAGTATTCACATTGAGCTGAAAGATTTAATATTAATGTTGACGACAGGTAATTTTATTGTCTAATGCACATTGCACCCCATACAAGTCTTAAAATTTTTCAAAAAACGCGTTTGCAGTGATTTGTTTGTGAGAAGCATTGGAAATGTACATACTGTCTTTACAAAACGTTTATATTGAGAATTAACAAGATTCCGCTATCATAATGACTAGCGCTAACTGTCCAACATAATTATCTGTTATACGATTTGTTAAGGGAAAAAAAATAGCAAAGTAAACCGAATATACAGCCACGAACTTGCAGTTAGGATTCATCCATGAGAGAGCCAGGGAAAGAAACTGAGGGTACTGTACGAGGCCGCTTGATTGTAGGACGTTCTGAACTATAGTTGACGTTCTGCATTATTTCTCAAACTACGAACTTGTGATTGGAGAATAGAGATGATATGGCCCCACATATGCTCTGACGCCATCCAAATCACAGGTATGCGGACCAGAAAACTCTACTATTGCATCTTTGAGAGAGCCTGCCCATCGAAGAAAGTACCATTCAACACCATTTGTCACAATTCCATACATTAGAATTGGAACGTTTTCTGATTCCACTTGATCAATTTTGCGTTTTCGATTTATCGTCTGAAAGTTAGGTGATTTGAGTTATACAAGACAGCGCTATGCATGCCAAAATTCTGGCGGTAATAGCCAGTTGTTACGCAAGAGTTCTTAATCAGTGGCAAGTTTGGCAAGTTGCTATTGTTGAACGATATTTTGCGCGGTTTCTTTCTTAAAATCTTCTTTCTTAGCTTAGTCAACCGAAATCGTAACTCGCCTAATTGACTGAATAGTCAACGGGTCCGTATCCACGACTTTCATTAATCCATTCTTCAGCTTTAAGATAAAGTTTGCTTTCTTTTGATCGCCCATGAGTTACAGCGAGCGCTGTTCATGACGTTGAGATAAACTCTCTGCAAATCATCTCGTTTGCGTTAATGACACGGAAATTTTCGCTTTTTTGTTCCCGGCCTTTGATGAGCATTTGGCGCGCGTTGTCGTTGAGAACGGGGTCTTGAGATGGGAAGATTTCCTGCAACGTAAACAGTTAATCAGAATGTGCAACAACAATTTTAAACAGAGTGTACCGATTTTAAATTGGACCAATAAGGAGCTACTGGCAAGTCTCGCAATGCCATGGAATTTCACAAAATGTTAAGGAACTCTTGAAGAACTTCTGCCAGCTCCCAGTTCGCCGTATGACTTTCTACCCATATGGATGAAAGAATGAGTCACATTAACGTTTTACTGCGTACAGCCCCAACCTTCAATCCGAATGGATAGACTAATTTCACGTTCGTTTTCCTCGTTTGGCTTATTTTTGACACACCGTGCTCTGTACACAACGCGGTGAGAATAAAATAGTTTGGATCGAATCATGTGATCAGGGAAATTTTTATTCCTTTCATGTGCGAAATCACATGGTCGGCTGATCAGTAATAAAATCAATATATTAATATAGGATTACCCGTAAATGAAATATAATAGCAATGGTTCCACTGAGTACACCCAAAAATGATTCAAGAGAGAATTTTGACTTGCGTGAAGCGTTTCAAGCTCTCTTCAGATATATTTTTAATAGCCCAACTGAAAGCAATGAATGGTGGCGGTCGATGTCTTTAAAAGAAAACAACAAACATTTTATTACTGAGATTGACAACGCTATTGCCAGAAAACGTATCTCAATATTTTAGGAATTGGCCGCACTTATTTAGAAAACGTCAGAAAATCATTTAGCTACAAATGGCATAATACTGTGTGTTTATGGTAACATAAAACGAACGCCGCGATGAAAGACCAAATAACACAAGTGTTGCTACAGCCGCAAAGAATTTTCTCGAAAATTATGCTGAAATACATTGATTACCAAGTCCCGATAGAAATGTCAATCACACTACTCAAACGCTTACCATTTTACCAGCTGAAACGAGTTATAAATCGGTCTGTAGCAATTTTATTGCAGGTCTTGAAAATAACAGCACGTTGAATATGATGTGTTTCGCAAATTATGGTACCAATTATTCAAATTATGAGTTCACAAACTGAATTATGCAATACTTGTCAACATTTTTGGAATGGCTCGCAGTGTAATGCTTGCAAAGAAGAAGAAGCAAAGATTTACTAAAAAGTACCAAAAACATTTAGATAAGGCTAAATTAGGAGAGAAAATATCACAACAAAAATACGAAATTAGCAAAATGACAGAGGAATTTAATAGATGAGTAGACTATCTTGGATTATTTATGAAAATTTAACCTATTTTAAATATTATCGATTCTACATTTTTGTCGAGTGAGAGAAATGAAGCAGAGGCTGGGAAAGTTGGTGAATGCTTGTTATGGTAATGCATTGTTCTATTTACAGTTCCATAAATCGTAGAGATAGAATATTTGCAACGTTGAAAAGTATCCCGCAAGAAAGGTATCGTAAATCTTTTGCATATAATGAGTTAGCTTATCAATAATAAATTTTGAAGTTTATTACGCAATTTGTTGAAATAAGTCATGTTGCAAAAACTTTTTAAACGCCCACGCATTTTCATCTGTTATTTAAAAGCCATCATTTGTCCATAATTCAATCTTCAACTAAAAGTCTTTGTGATAATTTTGTAAAATGCCAAATCTGAGAAATATATTTTTAACCGCGAATAAAACATGACAGACTTTCAAAGTAGTTGCCGCATTGTGGATAAAGTAGGTAATATATTAATTATCTATAGTACGAACAGAATAATATAAAGCCTATTTTCTCGATTTTATAAAATTAAATAGAGTTGTATTTATATTTCCATTACGACATTTCTCTGATAGTTTTTATTGATTCGCTATTGTTTGTTTCAAACCCATGGATGTTGGAGAGAACGAGTTTTTAAATTTAGTTAAAAGACTTTTCTGTGACCTATTTCGAAATCGTCACCATTTGTTTCGATGATATCACATAATTATATTATTCGAATGCAGTTTATTGGTGCATGAGAATTCCTTGTGAGAATTTTGAAATGGACCAAATTATGATTCGGTCTAGAACCATCTGCGCATAAAAACGCTCTTACCGATAAAGATAATCAAATTCTCAATCTTTGCTGCCAATGACGTGCTCCGTTTTACCTAAATATGCTGTATTTGCTAAAGCTAAATAAACCGACAAAACATTTAATCAACGAGTCTCCCAGTACTAGAACGGTTTCTTTATTAGCCAGTTACCCAAGAATCATGTATTCTTCGCCATCTTGTTGACACAACAAATTTATTTTGCTAAAAATGGAACAATAATATCCCAACGACATTGATCATGTACAGATGTGGCTTTAGATTGATTTTAAAACCTTTATGGCGCCCTGTTTCACCATTGTCTGGTTTTTTGCTGAGCATGAAGCCCGTTTGCCTTATCCTGATTGGGAGGTTGCGGCATTGTACTGGAAGTATATAAATTTGGTTGATATTTGGGCATGAAAATTTGGGAATGATCATTGGATTGACATTAATACGAAAGAACATTCGCAGCATGAAAGTGAGTCGTAAAAAAATCCCATTGTTGGGTGCCTAGTAACAGTGTTGTAGGCAGAGCTCTTGCATATCGTGTGATCTATTTATGTATTAACGCATAGACATTCCGAGTACGTGCATAACAATGAGGATAAAGTAATCTTTACAATTATGCACGCAGACTTGGAAGGAAATTAGGGTGCGCAATCTTATCTAATAAGGTTTAGCTTGATTTAGATATTACAATAACTTTCCATAAGATCTTAGCTTCTGCTGGGTACAGCCACCACATAACATAATATCCGAACATCTCCATTGTAACCGTATTGTGTTTTAATCATCATCTACAGTTTTTACTGTGCAACAATCAAATACATTACTCCCATCGTTTCATATTTTTCCAGCTTTTTGCATATGGCGTACTTCCACACATATATATCTGGCCTTGTGACATCATGCATGACGACGATTACTATAAATTGACTCGCTTTTTTCTCCAATATAAAATTCGAACGGCACTCAAACCGTCTTTCGTTCCAAACATTAAGTAATGATGGCGAGTAATTCACAGAGAGACAAGTCTGTAATCGTTGATGATAAGATTATATTGAACGTTGGTGGAATCAAGGTAAGAATTTGTACGAAGAAATATGGTGAGTGGAACGTGGAAATGAGAAAAAAGAAAGAGATTCAAATTTGATATCGACCAAGACTCGAGAAAACTAACTAGCGTTTTTTGTTTGATAAGTACGAAACGTGCAAGAGCACCTTTACTGCTTATCCAGAGACAATGCTGGGAACCATGTTTCATGAAAGAAACAAGTTTATGTTACATCCAATATCAGGAAATGAGCACTTCATTGACAGAGATGGTCTTTTGTTTCAGTATGTGATGAAGTTCTATCGAACAGGAAAAGTGCCCCGTCTAGATGAAAGTAAGTGTGATGAGTGTGTGAAAAGGTCTCGTACTTTCGATGTGTTTTTAATACCTTGCTAAAACAATTCGATCGCACTTGTTCCCCAATTCACCCTCTTCTTCGCTTTCCTCCCTCCCCTCTCCTCGCCTCCACTCTCGTAACAGTAATAACACCTGTACCCATTTCTCAGGAAGAACTCGATGAGGAGCTTGACTTTTTCATGATTCCACGTAATAAACCCGTTCGCGTAAAACCCGCCAAAAGAGTCCACGTTCGCGATTCAATAATCTCGTCGCAACTCGCTGCCTTTATCAACGCCCTCCGACAAATAATCAGCATTCTCTTTTTACAATTCAAGGAAGAATTTCTCATCAATCGACATTTTCCAATTGGGATACAATTAACATTCTATGAACGAAAAAAGGTACGAATATTTATCATTGCCCCACCCTCGGGCTTAAAATCCCGTATAGAGAAGATCATTCAGCCGTTCGAAGGTATCGGGTTTTGTTTGTTGGAAGGATTCGCCGAGGATGTTGAGAGATACTTTGAAGACAGCATCACGGGAATCGAGTGGGATTGCATCGAGAGGAGAAAGTACTTGGAGCATGGAGGAATGGTGAAATTGTTTGATTTGAGGATTACGTTGGATGACAAGTGTGACAAGACAGATCTGATAAAGAGCTGTTGCTTGAAGAGAGGAATAGGTGAGAACGGATAAGGTCGAGAGGGAGAGAGAGAGAGAGAAAAAAACACAAACATTATATCCTCCTCTCACAAAGAAAAACGATACTCGGTAATGCACGTCAAATTTAACGAACTATTTTGGGTACTGTTATATTAACCTTTTGTATTAGTATGTATGTATGACTTATAGAACATATTATCCTAAAATAACTACTACTATTACTATTACTACATACCTGTAAATGAGTTTCTTTACATATTATCTTCTTTCGTTTACATATTATCTTCTTTCGTTTACATATTAGCTTCTTTCGTTGTTTTTTTCCCACTCCCTTTTCCCAATTCAAAAAGAAAAAACCACCCTAAACTTTATGCTTCAACGTTAGAATAGTGCTTTTTTGGATAAAAGCACAATTGATACTATTAAGAAATAAGTTGTAAGTAACAAAAAGTACTTTGTAACATGGACAATTCATTTTTTATAAACGAGTAAGATATTTAATATCTTTGTCGATTATCATAAGAACCAATTACGCAATTGTCTCACATGATTTGGTTAATCAATTTTCCACATTACTGCTACACGAATAGAAATTTGCATATAATAATAGATAAACCCTTTGACTTTTAGAAAGCTGTTATCAACCAGGATACATTCCATTCTGACGTTGACGAACCGACAAACGATTAGTTCTTTGTCTTTGAAAAAGACGAGCATTCCTCTTGATAACTCCGAAAGCTAACCGAAACGGATTATTTTCCAATAACACAGTCTGTTGTGTTATTGTGCTATTGTGCTATTTATCACGTGGTGATTCTACATCAATGTTTGTTACAATAAATTGCTTACCTAAGTTTGAAAAGAATTTTTTTGTAAAGCTTAACGTGTGGTATGTGTTTATTGTTTCTTTCCAGGGGAAGAGAATTCCCTCAAACGACGAAAATAGCGAAATTGAATAACGATTTAAAAAAAACAATAAAACGAATTGATCTTCTCTTCTTGAACTAAGTTAAAAGACGAATTGAAAAGACACCTCAATGTGATATAAAAAAAAAGTCGCTCTTTTATGATCGTATACAATGATATATTTGTTTAGGATTAATGTTGTGTAATCCTGTGTGCTTAAATTAAATCTAAGAAATACGAAGGCGATTAGGATAATACGAACGAATGCTCAGGAAAAAAGTTACAACGACGTAAGAAAGAAAAATAAAAGAAAAAATAAAAGAAAAAAGAAAAATAAAAAGAAAAATAAAAGAAAAAATAAAAGAAAAAAGGAAATAATGGCAAAGGAAAAGAAAAATGGCAAAGGAAAAGAAAAATGAACAAAGGAAAAGGGAAAATGACAAAACAAAAGAAGAAAAAAAAAAGGCAAACAAACAAAAAAAAAAGACAAAATTTTGAATTCTAAAGTAAAAGAGTGGACATGACAAATTATGTCACTTTGGTGTTTTATACAATACAAATCAATTGTATTGTGCGCGCTGGTGAATGTAATTTAAGGATGGATGAACGGTATAATTGTTGGATGGTTATTTCTTATAGTAGAGCCGTAGTCATATATTTTCAACTTTGTCTTTATGAAATCGACTTATTGCTGACGTTGGCGTGGCATAAATTTCTAATTATTAAAATGTCGCAACTACATCAGTAAGTGAGAATTAGTTTGGATGACAAATTATTGACTATAATTTTACCTATATTCAATGTCCGAAGCGGCGCCGATTGTAATCAACATCAGAAATAACGCTCTGTCCAGTGACGTCTTTATTTCTCACCCTGTATTTGGCCGTGTCATGGCAAAGTGTAAAACTACACTAAATATTATCAAAATATATCAGCATTAAATTTTAACGAGAACGAAACAGCGAATACGATAAATTTTCTCGGTATGCATGCCAAGATGTATCGCAATTCCAAGACCACAATACATGATAACCACACCAATTACCAAGCAAATTTTTGTATACAGTAATATACGGACACAACCGTAAACTAAGTGATGCTAACCTGCCGAGGCGTGCTCATAAATTGACGCACCGCACGGTCTTGTCTATGATGGTATGCATTTGCTAATAATATCAGACCAAACGTGCACGATTAGATCGATCGCATATGCTAACATAATTATCAGGTTAAAGTATCGTTATCCATTAGTTTCAATTTCTACAAACCAGAGTTAAATGCGGCAACATGCAAATACAGGGAAAGAGGGAGAAAAAGGGACGAGCTAAACCCTGGGTAGTTAATGGAAAAAACCAGGGAACTTTGATGTTGAACATACAGTCACTGAGTGGCTGATAAAGCTGGGCGAGTAGAGAATCACTTGTATTTAAATACTATATTCTACGTTACTTAATTAACATAAAAAGATTGAATTAAGCGAATCCCTCAATTAGGGTTTGCACATCACCAATTAGAGCGGCTGAATATTTTTGTGCTATCCTTTTCATAGAATGTTGCACTTGTGTCTTTGTTGAAGGCCCTTTTTTTTTTCCATTGGTATTAAAGTTTGTGCAAGCGCAAGTCGTGAAACTTGCAATGATTTCGCGTTTTGGTTAAAATCAACACAGATACTGTTATCGTTATGTTGGCATTGTATTTTCTTATTAGAATAGTATACCCTTACATAAGTAATTTAACTGCGAGAAAATTTCCTCGAATATGAAATGATTCCTTTTTTGAAAATGTAGCGTATTTTTTTAAAGTTTAATTAATTAACTCATGTAACGTAAAATTTAAATTCAATTCTTCGCCTAATTTATTAAACAGCGTAAGCGGAGAGGGGGAAAAAAACGGTTTAAACAGCTTGGAGGGGGGTTTCTTATTTTCCAATTTTTAGTGGCTTGAACTAAGTTTAAACGCTCGATCGCAAAAGCTTTAGCGTCACGGAGAAATCCCGGTCATTTGCGCCAATTAAGATCAGTGGCACAGTAATGTAACACATAATTACTAATGCTAAAGAGGACCGCAAATCGTATTTGTCATCGTTTCTCTTCGATATCATCACCAGAGTACTTTAAAATACAACAACGACCAATTCCTAGTAGTTTCGGTCTCGTTATTATCACATGACTATCACATACGGATACTATTCCATCTTTGTCTGTTCTGCATAATAAAAGTCTTGTCACTCACTCTGAATGCTATTGTCTAGAAAGAAAATCTTTCCATTTGTGCTGATATTGTTTTTGTTTGGAAAGCTGAAATACTATATATCCGGTTTTCGCTTTTACTAACAAACCGTCTTTTCCTGCACGACCAATTTCAGAAATTGTACCATTGATTGGTTTGGTAACACAATACGTGCAATAGGTCAGCAACAAATCACAAACAGTTTTTCGGGGTCAACTAAAAAGGCCTATTTTTACAGTACCATTCGAATGTCTTTCTTGCTCAAGTATCTCTCAACCACTCTTTCGATTCTCTCTCATAAAAGAAATAAAGACAAGTACCGGTCTGTCTAAAACGGTCGTTCAAAAAATTGTTGATGCGCAATCATACAATACAAATAGGAAATTAATAATTCCAAATTTGGGTTTTGTCCACCAGGTAACCCAATGGATTATTGTTTTTCCTAAAACAACCATCTTTCATCGAGTGGAATCCTATTATTTTCAAACCCGTCCTTTATAAATATAAATAGATTGCGATTGACCACAAAGAATATAACGATTGCCCCAAATACGTCAATGCCCTCTTGTTGGCCTCTTTAACCTTTCTTTTCTTTGTGAATAAGACACGTAGCGATTCGAATGCTACTAGCAAATTTCGACAATTATAGTCTAATAACAAGGGGTGTCTGTGAACGACCAATTGTTGACGAGCTCATAATCGCTTCCGTTTTGAGAAGCATGGTGCGACTTATTTATCGCTTTTTATTATCTCGTAAGATTCGAAGTTACATATAGTCGGTCTAAAAACAAGCAGGGCAATACATCAATATTTAATTTTTTTTAATTCAGAAACAAACCGTTAGACTATTGCACGGAATTGCATGCCGCAAATATTATTTCGACAGCACAACATGTCAATTGAGGCAAGACAGAGCAACTAATATTGTCGGACCCAGATATTTTCGAAGATGGGAATTTCTTCCCGATGGGCATTGATTTGTTCTCATCCGCTAGTGAAACACGGAGAGCATCACGATAACAGCATTGCGTGTGTCATCGATAAAATGTCATGTTGCATAAACTTTATCGAAAACATAAGTAGGATAGTGCATATTATCGCCATTTATTTAATATTACAAGAGAAAAAAGCTGCAAGGGTTTCATAATTGTCTCACAGCAATATTTAGTTTCTTGTCTCGAGGATCGAACCTGTTAATAAGTGTTCAACTCAAAGCATGTTATTAAAAAAATATATCGTTATCAATCAATCTACTTACGAATCAAGTCATTTAATCAAGTCATTTAATTACGCCATTTAATTACGCCAAGCCCTCTCGCTTTTGTCATATGTAGGAGCTGGGAAAAAAAATGCCTTGTGGTCGGGCTTGATGACTAATATCTGATGTAAGCATTTGTTTTTGTAGTACACCTTCCGACAAAATAACAATGATGTAAACTTCTAAAAGCATTAATTGTAAAAAAAAAAAACAATATTGGTTACGATTCGCGTTCCTAGTCAGGCACACTAGTGCAGTGCAGTAATGAACATCAGATGCCCGTATCAGGTGGTGAAGGGTCTAGATTAATAATTGTATTGACTTATGAACCGGCCAACTAGTTTTACTATTTACAAAGTGCATAGCACACTTTTGCGCAAGTTTGTTTGTTGTTCGATGGATAAAAACTGTTTATTTCTTTGCACCATTACCGCAACAATAATACTCCAAGCATAAATGCACATATATGTCTGTAGAAAAAAAAAGTTGCTAAAAGAGACGGGGAAAAAAGAAAGCCCGTAACTTTTTCTCATACACAAATATGTTTCTGACGTTTGGCAAATTTTTATAGCCAACGGAAGAGATTCGATGAAACCAGCTTGCAGCAGGTAAAGCTCAAAAAAAGTTTGACATAGGTAAT